CCTCCGCCTCCTCCTCCTCCTCCGCCTCCTCCTCCTCCTCCCACTCCTCCGCCTCCTCCTCCTCCTCCTCCCTCCTACTCCTCCTCCTCCTCCTCCTCCTCCTCCTCCTCCTCCTCCTCCTCCCCCTCCTCCTCCTTCTCCCCCATGTGGGCCGCGCAGCAGAAGGCGGGGTCGTCTGCGCCGACGTTGGCGCGCGAGCTGCCCGCGCAGGCTCGCGCAAGCGAGCGCCCTCGCCTCCAGCGCAGCGTGCCGCGTGAGCCGCCGCGTGAGGTCACTGCGTCAGCTCGCGCAATACCCGCCTTTGATCGTCGCCCAGCCGCCTCCGCCGAAGCAGCGGCACTGACATCGGCCCGCGGCGGTCTTCGCGGATGCCTCGCGTCGGCGCTGGCTGGACCCCCTCTGCGGCGCCTCCTGCGCAGCCGCTGGCGCGCTCTGCGCGCTGGGGAGGGGGGTGCAGCGCCGACCCAAGACATCCGCGCGAGCCTCCGAAAGTTTATGGCCTGCCCCTTCTGCAGGAGGAGATGTCCGCAGCCGCCTTCCTGGCGGCGGTGAAGGCGAGGTTAGTGGAGTGGGGGAAGGTGGACCTGTACCACGAGTTCGTGATGTCCCTCTCGGGGACCGTCGACGCCAAGGCGGCGGTCAGGATCCTGCGCGGCCACGACGATCTGCTCTCCGTCTTCCGCAGCAAGTTCGCGCCCAAGTCCGACCTCATCGCCATCAAGGCGGAGCTGAGGGAGGAGGACGAGAAGGATTCAGGCCTCCCAAAAGGGGTCCGAGTAGATGGGGTCGGAGGATCGCGCCGCATCGCCGATGCATCGGCGATGCGGCGCGCGATGCGGAGGTCCATTCTTCTCCACGCCCTCTTCCCCGATGCACCGGGACCGACGGCGTCGATGCGTCGCCGATGCGTCGGCGATGCATCGGCGACCCGCCGGCCCCGTCTGCTCGGACCCCAGCTTGGAGGCCTGCCCGAGGAGGAGGCGCCCCGGCCGCCCCCGGGCCCTCCCAGGAGGGGCGCGAAGGCGGAGCCTGGCGGGGCGCCCCTCACCCCGGCAGGCGGCGGCGTGAAGCGGGAGCTCGGCGGGCCCCGCCCGCCCGACGGGCCCAGGCCGCCGGCCGGGCCGCCGGGCGTCAAGAAGGATCGGGGCGCGCGTCAAGCGGGTTTGTTTCAACATCCACGGCACGGGGGAGAGCGAAAAACACAGGGGTCACAGAGGGGGAACGAGAGAAGGGAACCGATCACTCATCGGGGGGAATCAACCAGGGCCCAACGTCGACTGTAACACCGTCGAGCCTGGGGTGCCAACCCGTGGAGATGCGGTTCCAGGAATGCTTCCCTCCTTGGGCCCCGCTTTGGGGAAGGGGTCTGCATTCGTTGCGCAGTCCGCGCACTTGCCCGCCGCACGTGTAATACTTGCAGCGGCAGCACACGTGAAGCGGGGGTCATCAGGGGCAACGATAGGGGGGGATGGGCATAGTTGGGGGGGATGCATCGGCCCCCCCCAGTCGCCCATGGATCGCCGACAGGGGCCCGAGAGAGCGCCAGCCTGCCCCGGAGGGTACGGTTTTTCACTATCTGGGGCCCATCGCCGATCTATCGGCGATGCATCGCCCATTCCAGGTCGATGTTCCCCCCCCCCTTTGCCTTTCCCCCCCCAGACATACGACGTCCTGATCTTTTCAGGGCGGCGTCCCTGGAAGTCCCGACCCGGACCGGCTTTTCCTCGCGCGTCGTTTTTTGATGGTCCCGAGGCCCGGCGAGGGTTCCCCGGGCCGAAAATAGCCAAAAAGCCTCCCTCCCTGATCTTTACGACGCGATCATGTCTGGGCCCCTATCGTTAAGTCGGGCCTGCCCCTCTACAGGGGGAATATCAAAAAATAGTCGACAAATAGTCGGGGGGACTATTTTTTAATAATTTTTGAGTATCTTTTTGGGGTATTTTTAATTCTTCGTCCAAAATCGGCCTGTAGGGGGACAGGCCCGACTTAACCCTATCGTTGCCCCTCGGGTCAGCGCTGCCTTGGCGCAGCCAGAGCGCCGGATCCTGCAGGGCATCCTGGATTGGCAAGGCTGGAATATATTGAGCCATTTGCCGGGTCGGGGAGCCGCTCGCGGCCTTTATGGAGGTTACGTCGGGCATGTCCCCCTACAGGAGGAGTGCTCAAAAGTAGTCAAAACATAGTCTGGGGACGATTTTTGGAATACTTTTGGCCTATTTGGGGGTATTAAATACCCCCAAATGCTGCAACAAATTTTGTTGCAGCATTTGTTTGTTAAGTTTTCGCCCAAAATCCGCCTGTAGGGGGACATGCCCGACCTAACCTTGGAGGCATATATCCAGCCGAGCCGGCTTTGAGAAGCCGCCAACGAAAATTACGCTGCAGTCTTCGTACACTGGCTGAGCTGGGTTTGCGTTGAGTCGGATTGGTCCGCGCCCGAAAGGAGATGGTCAAGTCGGAGGTCAAACGAGAAGCCGTGGCACCGAAGCCTCCGAAGCATGACCCGAACGCGCTCCGGGGTACGGTGACCATCGGCGACGAGAGCGAGAGCGAGGACGAGGAGGTCCACGGCGAGGCGTCTGTGGCCGCGGCGGTGCGGAAGGGCCGCAACGAGTGCATCGCCCAGCTCTCCAAGATCCTCTTTCGCAGGGAGCGGGGCCACGGTGATCAGGGGCAGCGTGACGGGGTTTTCGGTGTGCGGGCATTGTCGTCGGTGCTTAACGGTTTTCCAGCCTCTGGGTGCGTTCCAGCAGCTGCGCCTCGCCGAGAGCGTCCCCGGGGTGCCCGAATCGTCCCAAACGGCCGCCTGAGGCTCGTGCTGTGGCCTGAGCGCCCGAGTCAGGGGCAACGTTGGGGCGGGGACAGGCGCAGGAGGGGACGCATCGACCCCCCCCACTCGTCGCCGACAGGGGCCCGATAGAGCCCACCCCGCACAGGACCGTCTAGATTCACGATGGGGGGCCTATCGCCGATCTATCGGCGGTGTTGTCGCCGGTTCCATGTCGACGGTATTCCCCCTGAACCAGTCGCCCCCCGACGTTGCTCGTCAGGCGAGGGCGCGCGCCAGCGCCTGACGATGGTGCGCTACGCGACGAGGGTCGCGTCGAGGCCCAGGCTCTCAGTATCATGGAACCGATTCCCACCCCCACCGGGCCAGGGTGTCTCAGCCCCACCATCCCACTGTACCCCAGCTGGGGATAGGCCCCTCGGAACCCGAAGGGGACAGCCTACATATATCCCGGGATTATATCCCCATCTGGGGAGGTAAGTCGACCAGTGGGGCCCAGGCCACGCCGGTGGGATCGGTTAAACGATGCTCAGGTTCCCCCGGGAGCTCTTCATCTTGCGCGGCCCGCCCGGCGTGGGCAAGACGGAGTACGCGCTGCTGCAGCTGCAGGACTCGGCGGCGGCGCGGGCGAGGGGCCGTATAGGGGCACCGCTAGTGGTGGGACAGGCCAGGCTCAGGGGGGGCATCGTCAAGGGATAAAAAACCACCCCGGACCAGACAATTGGCGTTTACTAAACGGCCTTGGGCGTTTACCGGGGCCCTGTCCTGTTCGATTTTTTTAGGTGCGTTTACTAAATGGCCTCGCGTGTTGGGGTGGTTACTATATGGGGGTGGATTGTTTGCCCTCTGTATAGGCCCTGGGGGAGGTTCGAGGTCTCTGGGGGGGTGCTCTCCAGCGGCGGCGCCTCGCCGAGCGCGTTCCGGGGACGCCGGATCGTCCCGAACGGGCACCAGAGACTTGGGTTAAGTCGGGCCTGTCCCTCTACAGGAGGAATCTTCAAAGATAGTCAATCACAAGTCTGGGGACTATTTTTAAAACTATTTCTAAGCATTCGGGGATCATTGCTTCAGTATTTTAAATTTTTCACCCCAAATCCGCCTGTAGGGGGACAGGCCCGACCTAAGACTTGGGTCATGATCCAAAGATTGGGTGGGCCAGGGTTTCAGCAGCCGATGTGCGTGGGGGAGCCGTTTCTCTGCCACGCGGCCAGGATACGTTCGGGTATGCCCATTCGTATGAGAAGCACTCTCGGGCCGTTTTTGGCTGCGCGAGCCAGTGTTTCGAGTACGGGCTCGCCTGTTGCAGGATGGTCCTTGCGTGACTCGGGTTTCGCTTGGTGCATATCAGTGTCACCATCGTTCGTCGCAGGGAGTGCGTTTGTCTTGCGGGAAACAGGGGGGGGGGGGGGGGCGGCGAGCAGGGGTCCCTGGAAGGCCCCCTGGCCTTCTGAGAAGCCTTCTCCGAAGTCTCCGAGCCCTCCTGAGGTTCAGGACCCCTCGTCCGCTCCTGTGGCCAGGGTGGCGACTGGCTGCACCCCTCGCCCGTCCCCGTGGTGTGCGCCGCCAGAGGACTACGCAGAGTGGGAGCGCGACGAGGAGTTCGCCGCGAGGTTGTCGCACGTCTGTGCTGCCGACGACTTCTTCGAGGAGCTCAGCGGCACCGGCACGGTGTACAAGTTTGCCCCGGCCGCGGGGGGGCCAGATGTTGCCGTTATGCCATTGGTTTCTAGACCTCTCTCAGGGTCAAGGCGCTGAAACAAGGACCGCATTGGGTTCATGAAGGGCTCTGGCTTTCGGGCTGTTCCTCCATTGTCGGTCGGGGAGCCTCTTCGGGGCCAAGGCTCGCCGCGGCCAGAAAAGCCCCTCCAGGATTCCTTATGGCAGGATCCCGAGGCGGATCCGGCCTTCGTGGCGAGAGGCCCACCAAGAGGCCCAGAGCGGCGGGAGTGCACCGTGCTTTGCCAGGGTCATCCCGGCCAGCAGGGCCCTGCCTTGGCACGGCGGCGGGTCGTCTACAGGCGTTTTTTCCTGCACAGAAAAAAGAGAGGGGAGGAGGACTGATCATTATCGGTGCGTGTGTGTGTGTGTGTGCGCGTGTGTGTGTGTGTATGTGTGTTTAACAAAGTGTTTGTGTGTGTGTGTGTGTGTGTATGTGTGTGTGTGTGTGCGTGTGCGTGCGTGCGTGCGTGCGTGCGTGCGTGCGTGCGTGCGT